GCAAATCATGTCATTCCAATTTGAATGAAGGGCTTTTTGACTTGACAATACATAAAGTTTTTGATGAAGTATTATTTTAATAGATAAAATAATAAGGACAAATTAAAACTAAAACATTCTTCATCAAATACTTGTACCAAAGTCTAGCGAAAAATCATGAGAGAGAGTTTCAGTTAAAATAATTACCAATAGCAAGGATAGCATTCAAAAGAATCACTCCCCTAGGAGAGGAGCCTTGATCCTGACTCCCATACACCCAACACTGCTTCACTCTGCTTTATTGTCTCTCAGAATGATGTCCTAGAATGGCTCTCCTTGCTTCCCCAAGAATCTCTGTTACCAGCCCCTCCTACTCTCCAGGTCTCTGACTCTTGGATTTTGGATTCTATTTAAAGTTGCTATTATTGTACTATGTAGGCCCTTCTTAAAACTGTAGACTCTCAAATATCAGTCATCCACTTCCCTTTTCAGAATTAGAGCCTGAGAAAAATTATAGCAGCTTCCTTCTGCTTTCATCTTGCTCCTCTTGACAAAATAGAAACCTAGAACTCTCAAACTGAAAATATTCTTTTGCATAAATTGGTTCTACTTTCTGTTGAAACTGCCGTTGATCAATGTCTTGTTTGTACACTTAGTTTTGCTTTTCTCAGCAGGGAATTCCCGATTAGCAACTTTCAAGGATGAATCGACCCACTGCAACTGCGTCTTAGCCATTAACCAATGACTCAGGTAAGAAATTTTGTTTTCCTTATGTTTCCCTGATAGGGAGTAATTCAAAACATACTTCTTGCAATACTTGAATATAATTTTAAACTAACACACGAAGCTTCAAATAAATTTCTCTTCTATTGTGGGCAAGTTGGGCTGTGTTCATCCTCGCCCTCATCCTCTCCCTCTAGTTTTACTCTCTACGTTTCATTTCTTAGGATCACTTAGCAGAGCCAGTGTGGACTTATCAACTGGGCATAGTTGGCACAGTGTATGGGGCCCATGATATTGTTAGAGGCCCACAAAATGTTTTAACTTTAAGTTCAGAGGGAAAAATGAATATAACAATAATATTTAATGGTTAATCTAGCCTGGAGTATATATGTCTTTATACCAGTCATAAAATATTTCATAATATAAATATGTTTCCTGGAGGAAAGGGCCCCTGAAGGCAATAGTAACAAGTCAACAAAAGTCATAACATACACCGAAAGTAGCTAGCTGCCTTGTCGCAAATAAATGTCTCTCAACTGACAACCATATTCGACACACTTGAGGTTTTTTATGCTTGGGGATTTGATGATCTGTTCCATTTCTGGCTAAGTTACACAATTCGTTGGTCGTAAGTTAAATCTAGCATAGAGTGTAAAATTCTGAGTAAGGACAATAAATAAGCCTTTAGAAATTGATCTAGTATTCTAATTTGGTTTTAGTCTTTCCTTAACAATTTTTTTCTTGTTCTTTTTTTAAAAAACAAGGTATTGAATTTACTGTCATTTGCACTACCTTTTTTAGAAAAAAACCAAAACCATGGCGCCATCTACTGGTAGTTTAAAGAACAGTTCTATATGCTTATATTAAGGGGAACTGTGAGTTGAATCCCATAGCCCATGTAATTTACAAAATTAAGACAGGCAGCTCACACTACCCTCTTCTTCTCTAGATGATTCAATGTCTCTTTACTCTGTGCCTTAAAAATCTGGGTTCTATTGAACCATAATCTCTGAACTCCATAAACTCTGATCTCTAAAATCCTGCTCTTTTTCCTTAAATGTGTCTTTTCAACAGTGAATTGAACTGTATGGCTTTTCAACTTGAGGGGAAAATCATCAGCTAGATTAAGAATACTGTAAACCACCTCCTTGCACAGTACTTTGTAGAGTTCAGGAAGTCTACCTCTGCCTGATCTCTCAGAGGA